AGTCACACAAGTCACAAGAACTCTATATCTCTCATACACCAGACATACGGGGACTTCTTGGAAGATACTGTAAGTTGAAGTAGCAGGAACTATTAAGTTGAGCCAAGGTGGCGCAGTGGTTAAATGCAGCACTGCAGGCTGACTGCTAGATCAGCAGTTCAGCGGTTCAAATCTCACCGGCTCAGGGTTGACTCAGCCTTCCATCCTTCCGAGGTGGGTAAAATGAGGACCCGGATTGTTGTTGGGGGCAATATGCTGACTCTGTAAACCGCTTAGAGAGGGCAGAAAGCCCTATGAAGCGGTATATAAGTCTACTGTTATTATTATTATTATTATTATTACTCAAAGGCAAGGAAACAAGACCAGCTTATATAGGAGATCTTTTGGAGAGAGGTTTGAGATCTCCAGACTTTTACCCTATTGGCTCAGCCACATTATGTATGCTTTATCTGAACTGGTGCCCTCCACATACCATTGGTCAGGCTAACTAGAAATTATTGTAGTTTTTTTATTTTGATCTAACACATCAAAAGAATACCACATTGGGGAAAAGTCACCCAGGGAGGCTATTTTCTCCATTTTCTCCATTAACAGTACATAGGATACTGTTCCAAAGGTACTTTTTCAAGAGGCAACTGGACTTTCTTTGAAGACATTTCATTTCTCATCCAAGAAGCTTCCTCAGCTCTTAGTCCTTACATAGTGTATTTTTATAAAATGGCATTTCAAAAAGTATGTAAAGCATATTTTTGATGTATTAATGTTAGAAATGACATTTAATAGCATGTCATCTTATGGTAGCCTTTGATGTTTCCTTGATATGTTAGATTGCAACAATCATCATCCTCCATCTAAGTCAAGTTGAAGAAAGCTGTACTACTGAATTGTTATAAGGCTTATAGAGCTCACCTGTAAAAACACTCAATTGCAATGAGTGTAAAGTGCAACTGCTTGTAAAGTAAGTCTTTAGTAAAAGGTAAAGGTTCCCCTCGCACATATGTCCTAGTCGTTCCTGATTCTAGAGGGCGGTGCTCATCTCCGTTTCTAAGCTGAAGAGCCAGCGCTGTCCGAAGACATTCTCTGTGGTCATGTGGCTGGCATGACTAAATGCCGAATGCTCATGGAGTGCTGTTACCTTCCCACCAAAGGTGGTTCCTATTTTTCTACTTGCATTTTCACATGCTTTCGAACTGCTAGGTTGGCAGAAGTTGGGACAAGTAGGGAGCTCACTCTGTTATGCGGCGCTAGGGATTCAAACCGCCGAACTGCTGACCTTTCTTATCGACAAGCTCAGCGTCTTAGCCACTGAGCCACTGCGTCCCTAAGTCTTTACTATAGAAGTGAGATAACTATAATATTCTTGTATGATGTTTGTGAAGTTTTGAAGGTGTCTGAATGTGTTAATGCTTTGTCATTTTAGACAATATAATTGACAAGAAATGAGAATGTTGCCTTTCGTGGTTGTTTCCGGACATTGAGATTTGGAAAAATAATACACACATTTCCCCACAGTCCAGTGTGTTAATAATAGAAACATTGTCCAACCTTGGTATGTTCCTTTGAACCAATGCTTTGCTTATTTAAAAAAGTTTCCTTTTCCCTCCTTGGAGATTCTTTTGAGTTTTTTTTAAAGTTCATTTGAAAGATGTTACTTCTACTGACCAATCTGAAGACATCAAAGTGGCCCTCTTTCACAGCAGGGTGAATGTGTCTGCAATAGAATTAGTGTGTTATGGGAACATCAAAAAGGGCCAATTGACCTGGTGAACTATATCTAAAAGCCCTTCGTAGAGTTAAGCAAATTCCATTCATTTTGCCATGCCAACATTTTGAAACATCAAAACTCAGTCAATCTAATCCTCCAAGAAAAAAAAAGAGAGTTGGAAGTGAAGAGCTTAAAAAATAACTCTATTATGGAACTCACTAAGGCCTAGTAGTACAAAACCACTTCCCAATTCCTGATTAATTGCACTAACTCAGCCTAGTGCTGCCTGCTTGGCCAATGGGGACAAGACTAGTGATGCAATGCAGCATTGCCAGTACTTTCTGATGTAAAAACTCCGTGGAGGAGGAGGAGGAATGTCCTGCATTAAATGATTTCTCTGTCTCTTTCTGTGTGAGTGTTCATGTTAGTTATAACAACTGATGACTGTTTGGGCTAGTCCTTGCAGCTTTCTTGGCAAGATTTTTGGAAGTGGTTTGGTATTGCCTCTTGCTAAGGCTGAGAGTCTAGCTGAAAGTCTTCATGTTGAAAGCAAGACTAGTATTCAGAGTCTTTTGCTTTCTAGTCTAGTGGGTTAACCACCACACCAGACTGGCTGTCTTATCTAAGTGAATAGGAATCCCATATTTTAACAATATCTAAGTGAATAGGAATCCCGTATTTTAATAAAAGGAAAATGAGTCATTGAATGCAATTGTGTGCTGACAGAACCATCAATAAGGGCATTCGATGGGGTTAGTGTCTGCCTGGGATAAGTGGGTTTTGGGAACAGCGCCAATGTTCCATCAACCCTCCCTCAGCATACTTCTTATCTCCAGAAAAGCATTTTTGCCACTTTCAAATATGGGATGTTCTTTCACTGGGAACCTCAACCAAGAGTGAATGAGGGAGAAAGAAACATTTTTCCCCATGGGAGGAATTCTTTCTTATGCCTTCTCTGTCCTTGCACAGTGTTCAGTTTTAGCAATTGAAATATATCTAAAACTAGAACAACAGCATCTGCATTAGAACATCAAACATTGCATTCTTCCTTCCTCAGGAACTTATCTTCTTCCTTGATAATCCTGGAGCAGCTACATCTTGATATTTGTCTTTGGATTGTTTACATTTTCTCTTTTCTGCACTGTTTCTTTCCATATGATCCCAAAGACCTTCTGTAATGGAGATTTAAGCCCAGGGCCCCCAAGATCTACAGCCACCCTGAAACGCATCTCCATATCATACTTCAACTTGCTAGCATGACAGCAAGCTGATTTGCCTAGGTTTATTACCAGACCATGTGGTTACAGTTCCTATACCCAATGACTCGTCTTTACTTTTTTAAGTTTTTTCCTCACAACCATCCCCACAGAGTAAACTCATCAATAAACTGTTTGTTTATTTTTGACAAATATGTAGCTCACTATAGTAAAATATTTGAAATGTGGAGGAAAGAAGTAAGTTATTTTTGTTAGTGTATGATTCACTTGGAATTTGGGCTGCTAAACACAATATTTGCTTTGGTGCACCAGGTGAAGGACTTGGATTTTTGACTTCTGTATTGAAAGTTAACAGCCATTAGACTGACTGTGTGCCTTATGAACATCTGATTTTATTTAACCCTTATATTGCAGTGATTGCTCTTATAATCTTTGAAAGAATTATCTGTTTATTGTTTCATCTTGGGTATTTTGTGGCTATCAACCCATTTCAGATCCATTTATGAGTTGGTTAATAGATTAAATAAACAAATAAACAATTACATATAATTTTTAGAGACTCCAGTAATTTCGGTAGAAACTTTGAATCTCATAGAATGATAACTAATGGCAAAATCCTTGTGCTTTGCATTATATACTGTGAGGGACTCATTTTGGAGTTGGTTTATAAATTAGTATGCATTTACCCCCCCACCCCCATGTATTCATTGGCTATTGGCTTTATTAATGTTATAATTTTGATGCCCAATGTTTTAATTTTTTGTTTTATATTATTAAGAAAACATTGTAATCCTCCCAGAATTGCTTGATAGTGAGATAGGCAATATATACATTTAATAAATGAATAATAATATACATAATAATAAATGGCACAATTATCTTAGCATATCTCAGAACTCACCAATAGGTTTTTACAGCTGCTTGAAAGAACTACAACACACAAACCAACAAAATCTCTCTGAAGCATTTTAAGTAAAACCACAGACCTTGAACCAAAGAAGATAGAGCAGGAGTTATTTAGAAAATGAAATACATAAACTCTGAATAACAAATAGATAGAACATTAACAGAACATATTCAGGAGTATCATAAGCAGTTAGAAGACATGACAGAACCTCCTTAGTTTCACTGTGCACAAATACGTTCAACTATAAATTTGCCTCAGAAGCCACTGAAACTCTAATTTGGACCAAGAATGCACAAAAATCCCTAATAAACTGGGATTCTGATAAATTATCAACCAACAGACACATAAACCTGGACTCAACCACTGACTATTTCAATAAAATAGCCAAAGGTTAACTTTGTAAGAAGTTAAAAACAGCATAAAATCACTACATCCCTTATCATACAGCTATTAACCAACACCTGGATAAAACAGAAGGGGGCAACCCATCAGCGAAGCAAAAACTAGAAGTTACATAGAAAACAAAAACACCTAACAGTAGATACAAGTCCAGTACTGGACTTACTGAGGTCCGCTAATCAACAGACCTCGGTTCCCCAAGACCATAGTACTGAATATGTTGCCAAGGTAGGCAGCGAAACATCTGCAAAAATAAAAGCAGTCAGAACTCTTAGATATGAACTTCATTCAAATCTTGAACTAAATATAATCTCCACAAAGTATCTGAACTTTTGTGTTATATTTAAAAAGGTGCTCAGCTCCTAATGACTTCATCTATGTACTTTTCTTGGTCACATTTTAAAAAGTTGCTTGTCATTACTTTCTTCAGAAAAATATTTTACAACTTCCCAGTTTAATCAACAGCTCTTAGAATTCCCATAGTTTCATCCAAGTACCAAGTAGGTAGTATAGAGACTAGCTTTCTATAATACAGTAACAACAAACTAGTGAATTACGTGACGTGTAAATTTGGTCAATATAACTTATTGCTCAGTATCAATGGCTAAATTGACCTTATGTAGAATTAATTCCGCTGCTGATCATTATTTTCTGTTTTTTTAATTGATTATGGATAGTTTTTCCAGGTTTGTATATTAGTTTTTAACTTGTCTTTATTGTATTGTTTTTTATTTGTTGTGAGTTACCCAGACTTGCTTAGATGAGATGGGTAACCATACAATTAATATTACAGAACTATAGTATTTATGTTACTCAAAGTCTACCTGTATGGAAATTTCCCTTCATCATATACCCACAACTACCCTATAATTAAACTCGGATGAGATAATTAATCTGGTGACACCCAGGGAATCCCTTCGCTAGGACTATCAGACTTGGGCTGCAAACTCGACAGTACTAATGACAAGATAGCAGAGAACATTTTGCTGCCATTTAGTGATCACCAGATCTTGGGAGCCCTGTTCTGATAGGCTTAAGTGTGAATGTGAACTCTGTTTTTCTACTCTTAGTCCACCACTGTCTCTCCCCATAGCACAAAGTGAGAAAACAGATTTAATTAAGTAAACCTAATTACAGGTGAATATATTATGACGTAGTGAGTTCTGAACTCAGTCAACTGTCATTTATTCAAGAACTGATGGTTCAATTAACCATTGCTTGCTATGATATGGGACCGGTCACTAAGTTCAAGAGTTTTAGGTAATGAAGTATCACCTTTGTGTGGATTATGAAAAAAACTGATTTATTGTTGATTTTAATAAGAATTGTTTTGTGACTTTTTTCCTTTCTTGCAGGAGATTACAAGCACTGATAATCGCATAAAGCAAATGTAGAGTGAAATGGTGGAATAAAAAATATGTCTGCTGAGCTAACAGACTGCAGAACATGGGGATTCTTCCAGAAGAGGTGATGGACAATAGCACTGAGGACTGCAACATTAATCATGAAATACACCAGAAATTGTCACCTGTGGTATATATACTTGTCTTTGTAGTAGGACTCCCAGCCAATTGTCTCTCGTTGTACTATGCTTACTTGCAAGTTAAGGTCAAGAATGAATTAGGAATATACCTTTGCAATCTAACCGTAGCTGATCTGCTTTACATTTTCTCTCTACCTTTTTGGCTCCAGTATGTTTTGCAGCACGACAACTGGACTTACAATGAACTCTTGTGCAAAATTTGTGGCATCCTCCTTTATGAAAACATTTATATCAGTGTGGGTTTTCTCTGCTGTATCTCCGTTGACCGTTATCTTGCATTGGTGCATCCTTTTCGTTTCCAACAGTGTCGTACAATGAAGGCTGCTGTGATAGTGAGCATTGTCATCTGGACTAAAGAGATGATTACTTGTTGGCTGGTTTTTAAACATGGAGAAGTGAGTAAAGACTCGGAGAGACACTTAGTGTGCTTTGAACATTATCCCATAAAAATCTGGGAACATAACATAAACTTTTACCGTTGCACAGCTGGTTTCCTATTTCCATTTTGCCTCCTTATTTTTTCCTACTATGGAATTCTACGTGTTGTCCGTAAGAGTCATGGCACTCAGAAAAAGAGGAAAATTCAAATTAAACGCCTAGTTTCAAGCACAATCTTAATTTTCTTAATTTGCTTTGGACCGTATCATGTTCTTTTGTTAATACGCAGCCTATTTGAGAAGAGCTGTGAATTTGCTGCCAGAATCTTTAACATCTATCATTTTTCTCTTTTATTGACTACTTTTAATTGTGTTGCAGATCCCATACTATATTGCTTTACAAGTGAAAATACCTACCAGGATTTTGTCAAAATGGGACGATCTTGTTTAAAATGCCTAAGATGTATTCCAATAGAAAACAAGGAATCCTATCCATTAAATACTCCAGAAACCAGGAAAAAAGACAACGAACAAGCTGATCTGGACACAGGATTGGTTAAATAAATTCTATGTTATTCATAAAATAGAAGTATGAACTCATTCTCTCCAAAATAGTGATGTAACTTCTCCATGCACAGATTGCTTACTTCACTTTTTTACATCTAAATGTAGATATGAGAATCATTACAGCCTGTAAAATGGTTCATAACTTAAAAATACAATAAAATCTGCTATACTGGCATTCTTTCCATGTGGGGAATTCCCTTCTTCCTTTAAAAGAATCAGCTTCATTCAATTCAAACTTCACTCCAATGTATTAGATAGACAAACTATATTAACTTTGAAGTTTATAAGCTATACAGACACATACACTTTGGATAAAAATAATATTCTAGATTTTAATAGTGTATTCTTGGAAAGTTGATGTCAAAACATATTTTTATAATCATGTGTTAAATCTAGCAACTAGTGCGTCACAATGTCTGAAATTTTTCAGATCTCTTCTACTATATGAGGTAAACAGTTAACATGGTTCAAACATTGTGCTAAGCAATTGGTAGTGTTTTCAAAAACTAGCCACACCATTTTTTATCGCAGTATCTTGTGAAAACCCAGCTTATGTGGTTAGTTTATAACAGGGGTGAAATTCAGCAAGTTCTCACAGGTTCTGGAGAACTGGTAGCAGAAATTTTGAGTACTTCAGAGAACTGGTAAATACCATCTCTGGTGGCCCCAGAATGGAGTGGGAATGGAGATTTTGCAATATTCTTCCCCCAGAAGTGGGGAGGGAATGGAGATTTTGCAGTATCCTTCCCCCAGAAGTGGGGAGGGAATGGAGATTTTGCAATATTCTTCCCCCAGAAGTGGGGAGGGAATGGAGATTTTGCAGTATCCTTCCCCTGCCATGCCCACCAAGGCACGCCCACAGAACCAGTAGTAAAAAAATGGAATTTTATCAGTGGTTTATAGTTAGAAGTGTCATGCAAACCCACACAACTAGGTTAATTTTTAATAATCCACAACTAGATCAATTATTATTAGCCTAATGTAAACATAATACAGTTTATTTGGTTTCAACTCAGTCTATTGTATGATCATAGATTTATTCCTGGCAAATATTGGAACTCAGTCAACTGAAACTGCCTTAAACAATCAATGCCATTGCAAGATATGTTGGAAAAAATTAAAGGCCTGTTCTTGAGGGGCATTTAAGAAAAAAAAGTATTTATTTATAATTAGTGCTATTTCTATACTATTAGTGTAGAATAAACAGCAAAAGTTAGTTTTGTAACATTTGTACATATTCTTTGGATTATGTGTAAGGAATTAATTTGAGAACTGCCAAACAAGCTTTAGCAGTAATCTTATGTTTGTAAATGTTTGAATTAAAATGTTATAGTTGTTAATTCAAACACTTCAGTCATATTTAGATCAGAATTATTGTGGATTTCTCAAACAAAAGTAATTAATATTAGGAATTTTAGAATACTAAAAAAAACGGGAGGTATTAATGCTTCTATATTAATCTATGTTAAGTCAAAGTTGTTAAATCATGTGGTCCAATATAAATATTCACAGAATTAAAAATTGAACCTGAAATGAATTGCGTACATTGCTAAAATATATTCCGCTCCAAGAAAGACTGAGTTTGTTTAGATCAATGGTTTATTAGTAATTTTATGCAACAAAATTCTGTACTAAGCCAAACATCTAAACCTGCATTTATCTTTTGGTTACATTTTGCTGTATTTGGAATCTTTATACAGTAGTTCTTTCTCCACTTTATTTCAAACCCTAATGTGCTTCTTAAGTCAGGGGGGCAAAATTCTCTGAATGCAATAGTATTGAGTCAGGATGAACACACAAATGTTTGGCATTTGTTATTGCAAAAGTCCATTCTAAGCATTCTTACAGAAAACATTAATTTTAAGTAGTTGTAAATTGCATCCTTTTGTAATTTAATTTAATCTCATTGATCTAATTGAGTTCATTGGAATATGCTCAGTTACAAGTTTACAGAATCACAACTAATTACTAAATTTACATTCAGAAATCAAAATAACTTCAAGAGCTATAACAAAAATATCCAATTCCCAGTCCAGAATGTAAGTGGACTTCTGTCATCACATAATAAAAAATGTATATAAAATATTTTTATGGATTGTTTTGGAGGCTGTGAGGTGAGTTGTTAATATATTTCCTTCTTTCTGGTCATTGCCAGCATCATTACTATTTCTCTTCTAGCATTTGACCTTGCAAATCCCAAGAGGTGTTTTTTTTTTGCTCTCTGTGATCTGACTTAGCCTTCATGAGCCCCACTTAACACTCTACTCATGAGGGAAAACTCCTTTTTATTTAGAAAGACAGGAATACATGCATTCACTGACAAAGCTCCAGGTCACACATTCTTAGGTGATTCACAAGCTGTCTCTGAGATCCCCAAAAGTCAGTTAGCACTTCAATCCCAACACAAAGAGTCCTGACCAACCTGGATAGTGGCAAGGAAATCCTGGCAAGAATCAGCCAGAGGGAACTCTTCTGGAACATGAATGGTTGTCTCCAACAACCATGCCTCCCACACCCCTCCTCCTTATATCCCAGCCCAGGAGGGGCTTGTTAACGTCTCCTTCTTTTCCTGGATAGCTGGCCCTCAGTCCTGTGTTGCTCTCCTCTCCGTACTTCTCTGCACATACGTGCATCTTGGACAGGCCCCAGCTGTTCCTCCTCCTTGCTCAGCTCAGGCCCTGAAAACAGCTGTCTCTCTGCCTGAGTGTGAGTAGATGAGCCCTGCTCTGCATCTGGCTCTGAGACCTCCTGCTCCTCAGAGCCTTCCGCAGGCCCCAATGATAATGCACACACCCACTCCATCTCCTCTGACCCATCTGCTAATTTCTAAGACCAAGCTTGAGTATGGTGTTAGTATCTGTCCAATTTATACTCTCTTGTTTAATGCTGCATTTCTGAGATAAGAAACCCCCGTTCTACAATTAGGATATTTAGCTGTAAACAGTTCTGTTACTTCTCTTGAGATACTTCTCTTTCTGTTGTTCTACCTCATCCACCTCACATAAGCACAACATCCACCTCGGCATAAAAAGGGATGCTTTTAGAAAGGGATGAGATGAAGAACAGAGGGGTACTGCATGAAAGAGAAAAGTATTCTGAATGCCCAAGAATTCAACTATTTCAACAGGATTTTTAAAAAAATCTTAAGTCAATTTTACCTTTCAGTTTTTGCAAAGTACCACAAGTGCCTAAAAAGTAACAAGGATTCACATGTTCTAATTTATTTGAAGATAGAAAAGGGCAGATAGGAACTAAGTTGAATGGATGCAAATATGAAATTAGAAATGCCACAATAAATACAGTAGGCCTGCTTTTCTTTGTTAAAACACACTGCGTTGGATATGTTTGCCATGGTTTGGTAGTATTCACAACGGGAAGATTACGATAACAAAGGAGAGAAGAGCACACACACCAAGGAAGACAGCACAATTTTAATAACAGGCAAGTCCAGGTGGTCCTCAACTTACAACCATTTTGTTTAGCAATAGTTCAAAGATATAAGTGCACTGCAAAAGACAACTTCTGACCAGGCCTTGCATTTACAACTACTGCAGCATCCTCACAGTCATGTGATTGAAATTCCAATGGCAACCAGCATGTATTTGCCATGGCTGTAGTATCTTGTGGTCATCTGACTGCCATTTGAGAGTAACCCAACTGGCTTGCGACAAGCAAAATAAATGGAAGCTGGATTCACTTACTAATCATGTGATTCACTTAACAACTGCAGTGATTGGCTTAACTGCGGCAAAAAGCCATAAAACTGGGCAAAACTCACAACAACTACCTTGCTTAGCTATGGAACTTCTAGTCCCAATTGTGGTCATAAGTCAAGGACTACCTGTATAAGGGCAGAAAAGATTAAACAACCATATTTAACGGGGGCAGTATTTTTGCTGACAGATTCTTGCTGTAAAGAGTTTTATATTTCTATCATGGACATGGCCTTTAACAAGGACTCAAACACCAAGAAAAAGACAGCAAGTTTGAGTGTGGAACTAGAAATTACATTCAATGAGAATCAATAGAAAGAACTGAATACATATATTCAGAAAAAAAGACAATTGAGTGGGAATATGCTACCTCCCTCTTCATACTGGAAGGAAATCACAGAGTAATATCATAGAGAAGGACACAACTCATTCTTTATCATTTTAGAGGACAAGACATGTAATAACTCAGTGGAAGGCAGACTCTGGTTCAAAGTTGAGAATTTCCTCCTAAGAAGAGCAGTTTGACAGTGCAACCAATCGCATACTAAAGTATTCAAGAAAAGCTAGGTAGACTTTAATTTGGATGCTTGCCCTGAGCAAAGAGTTGAATTCAATAGCCTAAGGGCCCCTTCTATTCCTATTATTTTGTGGGAGAGAAGAAAGTATTTCAGAACACTGTCTGCAACTTTCCTTTGGAGGGTTATTACCGTTTTAACAGGGCATCTGGCAAATGAGGCACAGATGAATCTTGTTTAAATCAAAGAAAATGTATTCTCGATTAATTTATTGTTGATACATTTTAGTTAGATAATTGAAAAAAGATATCATTCTGAAAAATGTATTAATTCTACATTGACATTATTCCAGAAATTTACTGTACAATCACACATTCTTCTACCTCATACTATTTGGAATAATAAATTGTGGCAGGATATCTGATCAGGGAATGTAGTGGTAATATATATTCTGGACTAAATGTGTTTACTATACCATATTGTTAGAGATGGAATATTATTTGAAAGTTTCCTCCCGCAGCCTCTCTATTAAACTTGAATGAATGTCAAAGAATGGCAGAGCATCCACTTCCATTGCCAAACTTGCAGTTATTCCACTGCGAACATGATTCTGCTGTAATATCTTCAGCATGTTTTCTTCCTAAATAGTAAAATAGACAGTACAATTTTTATTCTCTTTAAAATTTAGGTTTCTTCTTGAACAGATGAAAGTGCTCAAAGTCAGGAATTTAGTTTAATATTTACTGCTTAAGTTCACAATAAGAGTATCTTGGTAGGGAAGATTTTATTTCTTGTTTCTTTCTAGACATAGCCACATTAACTATAAAATAGCAATAGGACTTAGACTTATATATTGCCACATAGTGCTTTACAGCACTCTTGTCATTCAAATGTTAAAATGCATTCTTTGCTAATTATAGTAATGTGGAAATGTAGGATTGGAATCCATTTGTATTAGATTGTTTCCAGCATCATTATTAGAATAATATTATACTAGAAGTACTTCAAATCTACTTCCAAGCTTTTCTGGCTGGGGAATTCTGGGAGTTGAAGTCCTCCAGGCTTAAAGTTGCCCACCAGACCCCTGGTTTATACTGTTGACATCTGGCATCATAATTTCAGTTTATAAAATAATATATAATTACCAATGCTCTACTTTCATAGTAAAATGGTTTAAAAAAAAGTAATGAGTTGAGGAATAAGTTGTAAAATCTATCTGAAGCCAAGGTATGGCAGTAGGAGGATAAAAAGGACGAAGCAGCGAAGGTAAGACCAACAGAGTCAAAAAGATGGATCAATGATGTTGCATTTCCAGATGCTGTTTGGGGCATTGAAAAATAAAGAGAAAGAAAGCAAATGAAGGAGGAATATCATCTGGAAATGCAACATCATTAATATTATGATTCACAGTCATCTTGGTGACTGAGACTCTAAGTTCCAGATCTGTTTTCTGTAACATGTATTAATCTTAATACATTACATTTCAGCAGCTTCCGACACATTTGTTTTGAAGAATAAATGAATCTGTGCCAACAGACTAGAGATAATTGTTGCTTACTGACCGTTTGTTCGGGAAGCATTATGAACAAATAAAATTTGTAAATATTTTTGAAATAAGTATTAAAATTATAAAATTATGATGCCACTGAAAAAGGGAGATTTATGACCAATCTTTAAAGTTCTGGCCATCACAGCATCCCTGTGGTCATGTGATTATGATCTGGACATTTGGCAACTGGCTTGCACTTCCAATGTCTGCTGCAATCACATGTTCACCATTTGTTGCTGTCTTCAATGGGGAAGCTGGCAGGAAAAGTTGCAAGTTGCTTCAGTAAATTGCTCCCACCTTGTAGAGACCCTGCCATGCTTACCTACCTGATAATCACCTGAGATCTGCTTAACAACCCATGCCCATGATCCTTGCTTAATGACAGCAATGTGGCACGTCAGGATTGCCATCACTAAGCAATAGTCTCACTTGATATTGCATTTTATGATTGCATTGCTTAGCAAGGGAAATTCAGGCTCCAGTTGTTAACCTTATTGTATTTTACAATATGAAAGGCTCTGAAAAACTTGCATGAATTTAAAATTGCATTCTATTGCCCCAATCTAGTTCTAGTTCTGCATAAATAATGGCATAAAACCGTTAATGATCCTGATGAGGGTGAAGACTTTCACCTACATTTATTTTACAATTATAAGTTTGAGGGGTTATAAAAGAAATGGCTAATAGGTTAGATATGACCAAGCACATGTTAGTTTAGGAAAATTTTAAAAAGAAATCATTGTGGAAGCTAGATAATTAAGTTATGAAGGCTTCAGGTAGACACATTTATTTAACCCATGGTCTCACTTTCTTTGCTCTAGAAAACTAATAGGTGAAATCCGAACTTATAAGTAGTATACGGTATTTAACAAAGATAACTCAATTTCAATAGCTACCCAGAAATCACCCAGTATTGGCAAGCTCTGCAAATTGCTTCCAATCACCCCATATAGAAAAAAAAGTTTATTCCATGAAAAACTTATTCCGAAATGATACCTTAGCCACAGAAGGTAATGCTGATGCCCAGTTCTTATATTTGGAAAACCTGGGATATCCAACAGCTTTTCTCAGATATCGGTCATGTATTTCACATGTATTGAGGATATATAGTCCACAAGCAACTGCATAGCCTCCCCAATTGGCAACACCTGCCAGAGAAAAGTGCCATTAAATAAAATGTTTTAGCTAAAACAATTGAATGGTATTTAATAATACAAAGCACAGGCCTCTAATTGAAATTTAGCACTGTAATATTGGCACAACAGGAGGAAGTGCAGTTTTTCCCATTGTTTCTAGGATCAACAGAATCCTGTTGTGCTTTGGCTTATTGTTCAGAAAGTAATATGTTGATCTACGCCTTTTATAGGCATAGCAATAGTGGAATTTTTTCCTGGCTCTCTAAAGTCCATAAGAAAATTGGCAATTTGGCAATTTAATAAATTTGTATGCCGTCCAATCCCGTAGGACTCTGGGCGTCTTACAGCAAGATAAAAATAAGAATTAAAAAAATAACATGAGATATAATTTAAAAAACAGCACACCATACATTCCAGTTAAGTGACCTTGTTCAACAGCCCCAGGCCTGCCGGAACAGCCAGGTTTTAGTGGCTTTTCGGAAGGCCAAGAGAGGGAAGGGTCCGGATCTCTATGGGTAGATCGTTCCACAGGGCCGCTACAGAGAAGGTCCTCCCCTGAGGAGCCACCAGCCGGCATTGTCTGGTCGACGGGACCCGGAGAAGGCCCAACCTGTGCGATCTAATTGGTCGTTGGGAGGTATGTGGCAGGAGGCGGTTTCTCAGGTATCCAGGTCCTAAGCCATGTAGGGC